GTACAATGTTGACACCGAGACGTCATCCTGCAGAGCCGGCTGGGAGACTCATTTCCTGGCTGGCACGAGTATTTACACTGCTCTCCATAGTGTTGTGGCATCTGCTTTGGCTCTTTCCTTCGCTACAGCCAATTACATCCTGGATCAATATCAGAGGGTGTGGAGAGAGCGGGCCAGCCCTTTGCCACACAATTCAGTGGATCAGTGAGGAAGCAAAAGAAAGGCACAAGGAAACTGGGTTGTGCCGAGTCTCTAGCTGCTGAAAAAGCCCTCGGGATTCTTGTAGGTTGCTGCTGATGGTGATGCTGCAGCACGTGGAAGAGGGGAAAGGGGCAAATGTTTTGCCCACTGCAGCATCCCTTCACCCTGTCACACATCTAAAATATGACCTGTGGCTTTGGATGCTTAGTTAAATGATCTCTGGCAAGCATTTTGTGCTTTCTGATGAGGCCTCTTGCTTGTCTGCAAGCCTGCAGACAAAGTATACCACTAGGAGTCATGACCTTTTGCCTGATGGCTGAGTGGGCCTTCCAAGGTAAGACTTTCCTCCCTCCTTATTTTCCCTTTGAGTTCAGGTCTTCCCACTTTGTTTCTGTGTTGCTGCCACAATTTCCCTTAAGGAGTCTTGCCAAAATCTAAGCTTTCTTTCTTTTTGTCTTGAGAGATGCACCTCTCAGTATCTTCCAGGTATCCACATCACATAACTGATTGATGGTACGCAAAGTAATTTTTCTTGTAAATATGAACTTCTTCGAGATTTTGCCAAGTCCTTTTCCCTAAACAGCTTCTGAATAGGAGCCAAAAGACTTCTACACATGTTGCTTTCTCTCAGAGACATGATGATGAATAAGTTGTTCTTTTTGAACCTCAGCTTGCTGTCCAGAAAGTGTTCCACCTGGATTAGATTCAAGGTCCAACTATAGCTATGATACGCAAACTCTAGTCCTCTCAGATGCATCTGTACTGTACTGCAGTTTGGCATCACTAAAACTACCATGGCTTAATGCTATAATAATTATAATAATGATTATGATGATTATAATTATTATAATCATAAAAATAACAATAAACATTGACAAAATCATGATCTGTCAACTGCAAAAGGCCACCTTACTTGGATCTGCGCGTATCATTCGAAAATACATCACACAGTCCTAGACGCTTGGGAAGTGTTCGACTTGTGATTTTGTGATATGAAATCCAGCATATAGATCTCGTTTGCTGTGACATACTGTGGTTTTATGTCAGTAAAATAATAATGATGATGATGATGATGATGATGTTGCAATCCCAGGCGACAGCAGGATTGAAGAGACACAACTGGAAAAACTTACACAATATGAGAGTTTAAAGATTGAACTGCAAAGACTCTGGCACAAGCCAGTAAAGGTGGTCCCAGTGGTGATCAGCACACTGGGTACAGTGCCTAAAGACCTTGGCCTGCACTTAAACACAATCGGCGCTGTCAGCTTCAAAAGGCCACCTTACTGGGATCTGACACATTACCGATACATCACACAGTCCTAGACACTTGGGAAGTGTCCAACGTGTGATCAAATACAAAAGCCAGCATAGTGATCTTGTTTGCTGTGTACTAATCTTGTTGGTATCAAATAATAATAATAATAACAAAATAATAATAATAAGTAAAGGTGGTCCAAGGGTGATCAGCACACTGGGTGCAGTGTCTAAAGACCTTGGCCTGCACTAAAAACAATCACTGACAAAATTACCATCTGTCAGCTGCAAAAGGCCACCCTACTGGGATCTGCATGCATTATTTGCCTTTACATCACACAGTCCTAGACACTTGGGAAGCAATACAACAGCCAGCAGAGTGACCTTGTTTGCTGTGTACTAATCTTTTTGTGTTTCAAACAACAACAACAACAACAACAACAACAACAGAAACATTTTTTATTTATATTCCGCCCTTCTCCCCTGGGGGACTCTGAGCAGATTATAGCATTTACAGTAGACACAGGCAAACATTCAATGCCTTACAATCACAAACAATGAGAAACACAAACACATACAAGGCAAAGGCTTCTCCTTTCATTTCTGGCTTTTGGAGGCGGTGCTGGTGCCTGGCTCTTGGGAGGTGTTTTTCTCCATTCTCCATTTTCAAGCTGAGGAGCCTTTATTGTCACCTCTTGGTGGTGTGGCCAGAAAGACTGCTTGGAGCGTCGCTTTGCCTTTTCCCATTGAAGCAGTACCTATTTATCTACCCACATTTTCATGTTTTCGAACTGCTGGGTTGGCAAGAGCTAGGGCTAACAGTGGAGTTCACCCCGTCCTGTGGATTCGATCTGCCAACCTTCAGGTCAGCAGTTCAACAGCACAAGGGTTTAACCCATTGCGCCACTGCGGTCCTAGAAACATGGGACGTGTAGTTTTTCAAGGTTTTTAGCCTTCTCTGCCAAAGAATGATGGCGCTTCACCATCACTCTTTGGTGTTAAACTGCACTAATTCGACAGTGTCGATCCATCCTATGTGGAATCCAGGTCGCCAGTGATCAAGGATTTTGGGAGCTGAAATCCAAAACATTTGGAAAACCAGATTTGGGAAGCAATGAACTATAGTGCCTCCCACACTGAGCATCAACACACAGATGTTTCTTGACACAACATACAGATAGAAGACTTATCCTTTTACCTTTCAGCTCCACCATAATCATCACCAGCAACTGGTATTTCAGGCTACATTCTCTCTCTTACCGCAAATGATTTCTTTGGTTCCTTATGTCTCTAATGGTAAAGTATATCACTAGACTTGAGAAGGAATTCCAAATTTGGCAGAAACATATAATATCTCTGGCAAAGAATCCAGGAGGGTGGGACAAGTCAAGAGATTCAATGAAATCATGGGGTCCTCCAGATGTTGGGAATCACAGCAAGTTGCTGAACTAAAATTCCTAGCAGCATCAGCCAATTAAATCCAATTGTGAGAAATGCTGTGAGTTGCAATACAACCTTTGTAAGGCTACATCCTTCTCACCTCTAGCAAAATAATTACTGTGGATAGTTGGGAGTGGAAGTGAAAAAAAAGCTTTCTCTTAATTGTGTACTTGTTCCATTTTCTCCCAGCTTTCACAGCATTCTTCCTCTGTTGTGAAATGTAGGTGTGTGCTAGACTGGGCATTATGCCAAACCTTTTATTCATTACAAGATTTGGCCACTGTGTTAAAAGAAATGCTGGTTGATGCTTGGTCTCCCTGTGCTTGCTGGAATCATTCTTGCAGCAACCAGAAGGCAATATGGGATCTAGAAGTCTTGGTAGACCCCAGGCTGAACAAGAGTCAACATTACATGAGGCAGCTCAAAAAGCCAATGTGATTTTAGGCTGCATCAATAGGAGTGTAGTGTTGCAATAAAGGGAATTAATAGTCATAGAATCATAGAATTGGAAGAGATCTCATGGGCCATCCAGTCCAACCCCCTGCCAAGAAGCAGGAAAATTGCATTCAAAGCACTCCTGGCAGATGGCCATTCAGCCTCTGTTTAAAAGCCTCAAAGAAGGAGCCTCCATCACACAGCAGAGAGTTCCACTGCTGAACAGCTCTCACAGTCAGGAAGTTCTTCCTAATGTTCAGATGGAATCTCCTTTCTTGTAGTTTGAAGCCATTGTTCCGCATCCTAGTCTCCAGGGAAGCAGAAAACAAGCTTGCTCCCTCCTCCCTATGACTTCCTCTCACATACTTATACATGGCCATCATGTCTCCTCTCAGCCTTCTCTTCTTCAGGCTAAACATGCCCAGCTCTTTAAGCCGCTCCTCATAGGGCTTGTTCTCCAGACCCTTGATCATTTTAGTTGACCTCCTCTGGACACATTCCCACTCTATCCTGCTTCATTCAGATCAGAATAGTCCCACTCTATTATGCTTCATTCGGATCTCAGATAGAATACAGTGTCCTGTTCTGGGCACTACAATAGAAGAAGGATATCGGCAAGCTAAAGAAGGGCAACCAAAATGATCAAAAGTCTGGAAGCAGGCATGTAGCCAGGGGGGGGGCTTGGGGGGCTTCACGCCCCCCCCCCCAAATTCTCATGGTGGTCCACGCAAAGGCCTTACTGGTGCATTATTTAAACTGTTATGTTTATTCATATCATGATCTGATCACCATACTCAATATATCCCATATGCATGGGGGTATTGGGGTAATGATACAAAAGGTTTGCTAGGCTAGACCCTCTTTCACTCTCAGACTCAGCCCCCCCCCCCGAAACTCAGCCCCTCCCCCGAACCCCCCTGAAAATTTTTTAGCCCCCCCCCAAACAAAATCCTGGCTACGGGCCTGTCTGGAAGCCAACTCCTATGACAGCGTTTCTTAACCTGGGGGTTGAGATCCCTGGAGGAGTCACCAAAGACCATGAGAAAACATAGTATTTTCTGTTGGGCACAGAGGTTCTGTGTGGGAGGTTTGGTCCAATTCTATCATTGGTGGGGTTCTGATTCTGTTTGGTTGTAAGTGAACTATAAATCCCAGCAACTACAACTTCCAGATGTCAAGGTCTATTTTCCCCAGTGTTCACATTTGGACATATTGAGGATTCGTGCCAAATTTGGTCCAGATCCATCATCGTTTGAGTCTGGATGCAGGTTAACTACAACTCCAAAACTCCAGGTCACTGCCCACCAAACCCTTCCAGTATTTTCTCTTGCTCATGAGTTCTGTGTGCCAAGTTTGGTTCAATTCCATCATTGGTGGAGTTCAGAATTCTCTTTGATTGTAGGTGAACTATAAATCCCAGCAACTACAACTCCCAAATGACAAAATCACCCCCCCCCCCCAACCCCACCAGTATTCAAATCTGGGTGTTAGGTATTTGTGCCAAATTTGGTCCAGTGAATGAAAATACATCCTGCATATCAGATATTTACATTATGATTCATAACAGTAGCAAAATTACAGTTATGAAGTAGCAATGAAAATAATGTTATGGTTTGGGGTCACCACAACAGGAAGAACTGTATTAAGGGGTTGCGGCATTAGGAATGTTGAGAACCTCTACCCTATGAGGGATGGCTTAGGGAATTGGGTATGTTAAGTTTGGAGACTATTAAGAGGGAACATGATAGCCATATTTGAAGGGATGTTATATTGAGGAGTGCCTTCAGTCCATAGAGCAGAGGTCCTCCTTTTCTCGGAGAGTAATGCCTTTATCTCATAATGCCAACTCACACACCTTCTGAGCAATCATCAGCCCTTCTTGGTCTATTGGTGCAAGCAGGAACAAACAAAAAGGACTAAATTGTTTGCTTTCAAGGCTGAAACTCATCTGTTTGAGTTGGGCAGTCCCAAGATAATGTCCCAAGATAAGAAAGGAAGTAGGTCTGGGGAATAAAGAAATACAGGCATATATCCCCATTGACAAAGCATCATGTGGCATTATGTGGGAATAATAATAATAATAATAATAATAATAATAATAATAATAATAATAAGGACACTAATAACAGAAAATGGTTAAGATAAAGGTAAAATTTTCCCCTTGACATTAAGTCCAGTCATGACCGACTCTGGGGATTGGTGCTCATCTCCATTTCTAAACTGAAGAGCTAGCGTTGTACGTAGACACCTCCAGGTCATGTGGCCAGCATGACTGCATGAAGCGCTGTTACCTTCCTGCCGGAGCTGTACCTATTGATCTACCCACATTTGCATGTTTTCGAACTGCTAGGTTGGCAGAAGCTGGGGCTAATAGCGGGAGTTCATGCCGTTCCCCGGATTCGAACCTGCGACCTTTTGGTCAGCAAGTTCAGCAGCTCAGCGCTTTAACTCACTGCACCACAGGGGTTACATACATGCATTTCTTGGAAAGAGTATTGTACAAAATCTAACACTGTTGTTTACCAGCCCTTCAAATAAGGACACAGCTTTATAACAAAAGTTCTGTTTGTTTGTTTTTCTAGCCGAAGGACAGGAAGTATCATTGAGAGTCCCTCAACCCAACGTGAACACCACGGTGGAAAAGGACATTTTGCTATCCATTGCCTATGCTTGTGAAAGTAGCCCCATCATTGAGTGGAAGCACACATCTCCCAGGGGCACCAAGAAAATAGCGGAGTGGAAACCGGGAAGTTATACCAACATTTCCAGGGGGTTTGAAGACAGAGTGAATGTTTATGAAAATGGTTCCCTCCAGCTGTTGAAGGTGGATCTGAGAGACTCCGGTTATTACTTGGTCACAGTGAGAGACGAGTTTGGAATCACTGTCTATGGCACCATCCTGCTAAATGTTTATGGTATGAAAATGATATTTTGTCTGATGCTAAAACATTCTTATACTCTTTTGTCTGGAACATGGAAAAGCTACATTTTTGGACTACAGTTTGTTATACCGCACAGACACTATGGCCATTAGTTTATCCAAATCTTGAAGAGGGCTTGTTTGTTCTCCCTTCGTGATTAGTTTCTATGCTGGATGCAGAAGAGCAATTGATAGTTTAGACATTCACTTGGATGCTAGTAGAGACTTGAGAAAGTTATCACTAGGAGTAACCATGTTGGAGCATCTCAATCTTATCTGGATTAAGCTAATCCAAGTAGTTGCCAATCTTTTTTTTTTTACTAGGGACCACTTGACCAGGACCACTTTGACCAGGGACCAACATTAGTACCCAAAGGGGTATGAATCAGTTTTTGGTCAACTTCAGATTTGGTTTGGTTATTTGGAGTGCTAATCCAGAAAATTGCATTGGATAGACCACATCAGCTCTAGTTTCTGATACAGAACATATGCCATCCAGTATTTTTATTTTTTTTAATTTCAGGTACTTTTACCCCGCCCTTCTCAACCCCCGAGGGAGGACTCAGGGCGGCTTACAAAAAAGGCAGAATTTGATGCCTATACAATATACACATAAAGTACAAAAAACCATAGTTAACAATTAACACAATTAAAACAATCAAAACATCAATATATAACGCATCCTATAAAACTATTCACATGGTCAGCGTTCGTCTTTCAGAGTTCCAAATTCCATTCCATTAGTCATTTCCTTCTCTTCTTCAGGCTAAACATGCCCAGCTCTTTAAGCCGCTCCTCATAGGGCTTGTTCTCTAGACCCTTGATCAATTAGTCGCCCTCCTCTGGACACATTCCAGCTTGTCAACATCTCCCTTAAATTGCGGCACCAGGAATTGAACACAGTGTGATTCCAAGTGTGGTCTGATCAAGACAGACTAGAGGGTAGCTCACGCCACTCTCCGAATTCGAACCTGCGACCTCTTGGTTAGCAAGTTCAGCAGCTCAGTCTTATTGGTACATAATTGTGTTGTGTGTCTTCTCCCTTTCTTAGAGATTCTCTATGAAGACTTGCATTTCGTAGCTGTCTTCTTGGCCTTCCTCACAGCGGCATCTGCCATTTTGGTTTGCCTTCTGTGGATGTGTAATAAATCAATTCATGTGCTTCAGAAGGAAAGACAACAGCTCAAAGGTAAGCCTTGGAAAAATATATGGATGGCCAGGAAATACTCAAACTCCACAACCATCAAATATTTACCTAAGGGCAACCCCTGATTTTTAAATTTGAATTTAATTTGCATTGTTGTCTTGTCTCTCCTACTATTTAATTACCGATTATTGTAAGGAACCCTCGGTAGCAAAGTGGGTTAAACCCCATGTGCTGGCAGGACTGAAGACCGACAGGTCGCAGGTTCAAATCCGGGGAGAGGCAGATGAGCTCCCTCTACCAGCTCCAGCTCCTCATGCGGGGACATGAGAGAAGCCTCCCACAAGGATGATAAAAAATCAAATCATCTGGGCGTCCCCTGGGCAATGTCCTTGCAGACGGCCAATTCTCTCACACCAGAAGTGACTTGCAGCTTCTCAAGTCGCTCCTGACATGACAAAAAAAAACCCGATTTTTATCTGGAATTTTGTTGGGAGATTTTTTTTTTATCATGTCAGGAGCGAACCAAAACAGTAGTATTGCGTTAAAAACAAACAAAACACAAATTTGCAGGCTTGGTATTCTATTAAATGTCCTTTGACCAGTAGCTGGCCACTTGGAGTGCCTCTGGTGTTGCTGCAAGAAGGTCCTCCATTGTGCATGTGTTGGGAGATGATGTGAAACTAAATAGAAAAGTAAATCAGCAAGCAAAAGGAGAAACTTAGCAGTGCATCTACACTGTAGAATAATCAGTGCAATTTCGCACCACTTTAACTGCCATGAGTCAATGTTATGGAAGCCTGGAAGTTGTGGTTTGGTGAGGCACCAGCACTCTTTGGCAGAGAAGGCTACAGATCTTGTAAAACTACAGTTCATGTTTCCATAGCATTGGGTCATGGCAGTTAAAGTGGCAACAAAATGCATTAATTCTACAGTGGTGATATACCTGGAATAGCACAGAGGGAAAATGCAGTCTTAAGGCAGGGATTCAGAAACAGTCTTTGGGAAATGTATTGTCGAAGGCTTTCATGGCTGGAATCACTGGGTTGTTGTGGGTTTTTTCGGGCTATATGGCCATGTTCTAGAAGCATTTTCTCCTGACATTTCGCCTGCATCTATGGCAAGCATCCATAGATGCTTGCCATAGATGCAGGTGAAACGTCAGGAGAAAATGCCTCTAGAACATGGCCATATAGCCCGAAAAAACCCACAACAACCCAGTCTTTGGGAAATGAGTTAAATTGGAATGTATACAGTTGCTATAGTCCGAATGTATCTGGACAGCACTAGTCTAGGTACAGACCAGCAATGCATCCAAAGCACATGAGAGGCAACAGAGACACCTCCCCCTCTCTCCCTTCCATGCTTTCCTCTTCCCAGCCTTTTCTGCAAAAGTATTTATCTTGAATGAATTTTTCACCTGGTTTCAGGCATGCAAAGAAATAAAAGGACAACATAAAAGGATATTTACTTTGTAGTGAGCACTGTATCAGCATCTGAGAACACCTGCCCAGAAGAAAGGCACTATTGTCCCCTCTGCAAACAAGCAGTCTTGTTATACCTGTTTACTTAAAGCACATAAAAAATTGGTCTATTTCTGCATTGGGGTCAACTGGCAGGTGCTATGGAGGGTTTGGAGTGGAGATCTTTCCCACAGCTTGTTACTTATGGTCAGCTCTTTCATTAGACCGCTGCCTCAGGAATTATTGTCATTGTCATCATCATTATCATGTTCTGCTTTTATGTTCCAATGAGCCATCTATTTCAGGCATGGGCAAACTTTGACCCTCCAGATGTTTTGGACTTCAACTCCCATAATTCCTAACAGTCTCCTCAAGAATTCTGAACTTGGAGAGGCTTCCCAACTGCTCCAGCATGCCTTCTGTGCAGGAGTTTTGTAACCAAAGCAAGCACGTTTAAGTCAGTGTTTTGTTTATGTTCATAGTGCTATGGTTAGCTGACCTTAGACTCTGGACTTAATTCACTCAGCTCTTAAAGTGCTTTTGTGTCAAAGGCAGCCTTGAAAAGTCAACCTTAGAACTTTATCACATGAGGTTGCTAAAGGACAATTATGACACGGCTTACCTAAGGTAATATTGTGGCTGTCCCATAGTCATATTGTGTTTGAATCATGATTGGACCATCTCTTTGCGTTGATGGGAAAAGTCTATCAAAATATCCAGTGTCGTTGTTGCTTCACTTCTCTTCCTCGTGCTATGATTTTGTCGTGCTGCAGTCTCAGAACTGCAAAACTGGGGAAGATGGTGTGAGAATGCAACTACAGCTGTGCAGTTGTGGCAAAATAGGGAGGAAATAGAAAAAAGTGCACATTTATTTATTTATTTACTGTATTTGTATGCCGCCTTTCTCAGCCAATTGGCGACTCAAGGTGGTTTCCAACAAATCAGTATACATAAAACATAATATAGATAAAAATAATAATATAGATAAGACATCACGAAAGCAATAAAAACAACATAATCAGCATCTCATTATTCTCAAGCATTGTCCAATTCTATTGTCAGGTCATTCGATTTCCTATATTAGCTACTCTGTATTTGTAAACGCTTGCTCGAATAGCCATGTTTTAACTTGCCTCCGAAACGTCAAGAGGGAGGGAGCAGATCTGATCTCCCTAGGGAGGGCGTTCCATAGCCGAGGGGCCACCACTGAGAAGGCCCTGTCTCTCGTCCCCACCAAACATGCTTGTGACAAAGGCGGGACCGAGAGCAGGGCCTCTCCAGATGATCTTAAAGTCCTCTGTGATTCGTAAAGGCAGATATGTTTGGACAGGTAAATAGGGCTTTATACTGAGTAGGGAAAACATGATAGGAAACAAGGCTCTGGCCATGGGAATTTGCACAAATAAAGTGCCAGCATCATGTAATTGCACTAAAGACTCTGGCATAGACACTGAGAACTGGGAAGCCCTAGCCCTTGAGCGCTCCGGCTGGAGGTCAGCTGTGACCAGCAGTGCTGTAGAATTTGAAGAGGCACGAATGGAGGGCGAAAGAGAGAAACGTACCAAGAGGAAAGCGCGTCAAGCCAACCCTGACCGGGACCACCTTCCACCTGGAAACCAATGCCTTCACTGCGGGAGATGATGCAGATCAAGAATAGGGTTCCACAGTCACCTATGAACCCACCATAAATACACTAATCCTGGAAGACTATCCTACTCGGACAGCGAGGGATCACCTAAGTAAAGTAAGTAAGTAAGTAATTGCACTAAAGTGTGAAAAAGGTAATTCCATTAACGGCATGTTTATATTTGCGGCACAATTGCAGTGCAGCAAATAGAAACATGGACTGTATAGGATAATGGGCAAAACCCAATTTAGTGACTTTCAATGGGTTTCCTCTGTGTTTGGTTAGCACTGTTGACTGTAAGTGTTTTTAGTTTGGAATGTCTCGTAGCCTCATAATTAGTTCTCAATTTTATTTTCACAGCAAGCACCACTGAAGAGACAGAGCTGCAAATGATGGATATTAGCTAAGGACCGTTTAAAGAAGGAAGTCCACTTTCTATCTGAAAACAAGGATCAAAAAAGGCCAAAATAATATCTCCTACATTTTTATTGCAGGATTTTTTTTGTCGTGAAAAAGATAACAATGCTGAACTGGAGGGAATAAACATTTCCAATGGATTTCTCCTAAGGGGACAGAAGACTTTTGCTGTCTAATTTGCATGTACTTCAGCCACTTATCTCTGGATTGATAATGTTGGTAACATTACTGGGGATTTTAAAAGTGCTAGATATGCACCCAGAAGGGCCTTGAATATGGCAGTGGAGACTGCAGCATTTAAATAAACTGTGACTATTTATTATATTTAAAACATACTTTTAAGGGCCCCTTGGTGATGCAGCGAGTTAAGCCGCTAAGCTGCTGAACTTCCTGACCAAAAGGTTGTTGGTTCAAATCCGGGGAGCAGTGTGAGCTCCTGCTGTTAGCCCCAGCTTCTGCCAACCTAGTAGTTCGAAAACATGAAAATGTGAAATCAATAGGGTGGGAAGGTAATGTCACACCTTGCAGTCATGCTGGCCACATGACCTTGGAGGTGTCTATGGGAAATGCCGGCTCTGCTGCTTAGAAATGGAGATGAGCACCACCCCCAGAGTCAGACACAACTAGACTTAACGTCAGAGGAAACCTTTACTTTTTAAAACATACTTTTAAAATTGCAGACTTGTCTCTTGTTCAACTCAAGAAAGAACTAGGTTTGTAATTATCACCTTGGCATTTAATGTTCAAATGTTAGAAAATAAACAATTACTTCCTATATTTGTTTTCACCTCTTTTCTCTAGTATTCAGATTGTGTCAGTGGGGTCATCTCATTTTATGTTTGCAACACTGCAACTGTCTCTTCTAGTTCTGATGCTTATCTCTCTTTGGAATGACATCACTGCCAGACAAGCCTATGATTTATTACACTCAGTGGTGTAGTTCATTGTCACTTGGGAGGGTTTTAAGATAACCAATGATTAACCATGGTTATTTAGTATTTATTATTGGAGCTGTGCAGACTATTTACGTTCTCATTTTATTGCTGAGGCATCTCATGCAGTCCAGCTTTAAACAAATGTTAACACTGAAGCCAAGGACAATTTAGAATCATTAAGAGTTGTAAGAGACTACAGAGGCCATCCGGTTTAACCCCATATGTTGCAGGAATACACAAAGCAGTCTTGACAGATGGCCATTCCATGAAAAAGATCTTGGGGTCCTCGTGGACAAGTTAAACATGAGCCAACAATGTGATGCGGCGGCAAAAAAGCCAATGGGATTTTGGCCTGCATCAATAGGAGTCTAGTGTCTAGATCCAGGGAAGTCACGCTACCCCTCTATTCTGCCTTGGTTAGATCACATCTGGAATATTGTATCCAATTCTGGGCACCACAATTCAAGAGAGATATTGACAAGCTGGAATGTGTCCAGAGGAGGGCGACTAAAATTATCAAGGATCTCGAGAACATGCTCTATGAGAAGCAGCTTAAAGAGCTGGACATGTTTAGCCTGAAGAAGAGAAGGCTGAGAGGAGACATGATAGCCATGTATAAATATGTGAGAGGAAGTCATAGGGAGGAGGGAGCAAGTTTGTTTTCTGCTGCCCTAGAGACTAGGATGCGGAACAATGGCTTCAAACTACAAAAAAGGAGATACCACCTGAACATTAAGAACTTACTGTGAGAGCTGTTCAGCAGTGGAACTCTCTGCCTCGGCGTGTGGTGGAGGCTCCTTCTTTGAGGCTTTTAAACAGAGGGTGGATGGCCATCTGTCAGGAGTGTTTTGAATGCAATTTTCCTGCTTCTTGGCAGAATGGGGTTGGACTGGATGGCCCATGAGGTCTCTCATGATTCTATGATTCTGTTTAAACACCTCTGGAGACTATACCACACTCCAAGGCAACACATTCCACTGTCAAACAGCTCTTACTGTTAGGAAGTTCTTCCTAATGTTTAGGTGGAAATATCTTTTCCTGCAGCTTGAATTCATTGCTGTGTTCTAATCTCCGGAGCAGCAGAAAACGAGCCTGGACCAGCTTCGATCTGACATCCTTTCAAATATGTAAACAGGGATATCATGTTGCTTCTCAACCTTATCATCTCCAGTCTCAACATAGCCAGTTCCATAAGCTGCTCATCATAGCGTTTGGCTTCCAGATTTTTTTATCATTTCAGTAGCCACCTTCAAGGCTCTTTTGATTCAGTGCAGACACAACTACAAGTATTGTACAAAATCAATTATTTTTCTTCCCTTTAATCTTTATTGCAGTCCTACATAGGACTATAAACACCTTTCAAGCATATTCACTATCTGTCTAGCTACTTGGGTATCCAATTTTTAAGGCCACTGTTTAAAAAAAGCACAGCCAAAAACTTTATCTTAAGGAAAGAAACAATTCTTTTCAAAAATGTCATAGTTTAATTCAACAGTCAGAATTGCAACAAAAACACAAGTGATGTAAACATGTGCGAAAGTTCACAGAGTTTGTGTTACTACTTAAGTAACTAGGTAAGGACCAAAAAAAGGCGGGAAGGTCTCCTGCATGAGTTTGAAAATACAAAAATACAAGTTTAAACACTTTCAAAAACGCACACGCTGGCTTGTCAACATGATTTTCTTCTCGACTTTGAAGCAGCACAGTCCTCTTTAGTGCACTAAGAGCAAGGGGTCAGGGCAGCCATTAAGAGTTCCATTTTGTACACAAAGTTGCGTCCTTCCATTTTGTTCCACTGCACTTCTTTGAAGGGGCCGCGGAGGTAGTTCCATTTACTGTCCTGCAGAACGTCACTTTTGGGGAGATCCTTGCACTGACACCGTGGGAACTGCACCATAACCTTGCTGCCGCTCTCTGGTCCATTGCGCACTGCAGGAAAACCAAGGACATATACCAATATCAATAACACTATGTAAAATATTTTTTGTTCTGTGGGGTTCCTTGCTTAGGATTGCTGCCACTTGAAGCCTTGGGAAGCAATGGACCTTGTTGGGGGCTAAGCCCTGTGGCAGCCACCAGGTTGGCTCTCTATACGGCTTAAGTGGGATGACCACAAGCCGTTTAAGCCAATGTGCTGTTGCACCCAAACTGCTTTAAAATGGCTTTAGTGCTGATGTGTTTGCCCACACCTGGCCTATCTCCACCCAGGTATTATCTTGCCACTGACCAACGATAGATCAATATAGCAAATGAGTTCCCAGAATAGTAGTCAGAAGTATTGTATTGTTGAAAGCTTCCATGGCTGGAATCACTGGGTTGTTGTAGGTTTTTCGGGCTATATAGCCATGTTCTAGAAGCATTCTCTCCTGACGTTTCACCTGCATCTATGGCAGGCATCCTCAGAGTTTCTGCAGTCAGAGGACCTCACAACCTCTGAGGATGCCTGCCATAGATGTAGGTGAAAATGCTTTTAGAACATGGCCATATAGCCCAAGAAACCTATAACAACCCAGTTAGAAGTATTGGCTTGAAATGGCCTGTCCAAGCCTTGATCTCACTGCGACCAACTATAGATGCATCTTGCTTCCAAGAGTCCCTGGTGTAATAACTCTAAAATAACTCCTTTTGCCCTGCCAAAGGGGTGGGCCAACTTACTGCTCCAGACCAGAAAGGGTTTCCTTAAGCTCCATCCTCATAAAGTTAACAGAAAAATGGATACTCTCAAGCTGTGGGTGAGGCAACCTAACAAATGAGCTGGGATCTATACAGTTCCATCATACCAAGTTATAAATGTAATTTCCTAATTGGTTCTATCATAAAAACATGGGGAAAGTGTATTAAACTGCAAAAACTTTGTTGTTGTGGGAGGGACATCCCGCAACCCATTTTTCAATAAATATCTCATCGAGTCTCAACCAATTTTTGTGACAAAAATGAAGTTTCTGGAGTATAACAACTGCTTTCAAAGTAAGTACCACACAACTAAATGTGAAATAACACTTTCAAACCAGGTACAGAAATTTTGTTAGACAGTGTAATTTGCTTGCCGTACAAAATATGATTTTTCTGGACATGCATATAGTCGCAAATTTTACTTTCTCAGGCCTAGAGTAGTAATATGAACATATGGCCCCCAAATGCTGCTGGGCTACAACTCTTATCAATCTTTGCCTCCACAGTAAACAGTGAGATCTAATAAGATCTGAAAGATCATATATTCCTCATCCTTGGTCTTGAATACAATGGTGCAGTAATTGTGATGTGGATTTCTAACATTGGAATTCTGTTCTATAGCTTCAAATATTACAACAATTTACAATTGTAACATTTTTAATCCATGATTTGTTTAGCATGATTCCTGAATCTGGCATTTGGCCTTCTTTACCGCTGACAAGCCAGAGTGACAGGCTACAAAGAATCCATGCCACACACTATCCAAACTATGCACAGGAGGTACATAGTTTACTGCCACTGCCACTGCCACCGCCACCATGAGCACTGATAGGCCACTTGTCAACAATAACCCCAGGCTCTCTCCAGGAACTTGGTTTGTTTTTGAAACTGATTACTGAAAGGACCACAATTTTCAGGGAGTATCAATGTCCAACACAGTACCTGAAATTGCATAGTCTCCATTTGGTGATGCCACAGTTATGGCCGATGCGTTGCCAATGCTCTCTACAGGTCCTAAGCCCACATGGTTACTGAAACTGAGCACATGCCATCCCATGACTTTGGCCAGCTGCTGAACTGCATGCACTTGATGCTGTGACATCTGAAACAAAAACATTTATAAGTGCATTTTTCTCTCTGATTTTCCTAGTTTGTTCTCAACAGTCATCAGCGAAGACAATTAATACTAAACAATGTACCACAGGAACTACACATATTAAGAAATGCCAAGTACAGTCAGCAGATCAATCTGGCTAAATGAGCAGCTTACAAACTATTAACTCTGATCTAAAAGAGGTTTTTCTTATCACCCCTTCCCCTTCTTCTGTTGTTGTTATTATCACAGCCTCTCACCCTGTGAACATAGTAATTTTAAACTCCTCCTTATAAAAGCCCAAGCTTGTATTCAATATTCATCTGCAATCCAAAAACTGAATTAAAGGATGCACACGTGTAACAATCAAGGCCATACAATATATACTGTAGCTGAGAAACATTTTAAATTTTCACCTGAGAGAGAAGAAAATCTTGTAACTCTTGTTCTTGGTGAGACAGTGTAATCACTCTTCCATCTCTGTGTACCACTCTGATGTGCTCAACACCAATATTCAGTTGCAGTTGGATGGACCTTGGAAATTATTAAGATACTAGAGTAAGTGCAGCACAGGCTTCATAGAACTCGAGCAAGGCAG